CAAAGGCAGAAAACTACCTCAAAGTAATGTGCATGGATGAGTGTTGTCAGTATTTTTCTGAACCTCAGGCTTAGGGTACTAGTTATGTACTTTGAAGTAGAATGAATGGTTGACAGAAGAAAGCACAAAAGAATGTTTTCAGATATTAGCCGGAAGAATGATGGTACACGTAGGAGAAACGCAGCACGAAATAGAAATCCCTGAACTTTTGCTAATCTGTTGCTCAAAGCCGTCCTTAACACCTACAAAAGGTATAAGATGAAAGAACTTGCGAATCGAACACAGTGTTGAGCCAGATTAGGTTCGAAATACACAAGTAGAAAGGCTTACCACAATGCCCACCAAAGCCAAAAGATCTCTTGCGCCTACTTTACCCATCTTGGACAGAAGAATTGTTACCAACACCTTAAGGGACTTCAATCCACCTTTCTTTTGTCTAGTTCTCTTGACGTTATTGTTCTTTTTAAGAACCTTATCTGAATTTTCGCTATCATCTCGGATACCATTGTAAGGACCATGTGAATAAGACTTGTTACTACTAAACCGTGATTGCAGATACGCCACAGCACCAGCAGCAGCGACAATACCAGAAGCAAGCAGTAGTCTGTTCCTATAAAACCATGAAAGTAATATTAAAACACTAGCAGCAGCCACAATACCAGAAGCAAACACTTTGTCGAAAAATGAGAGTCTCAATCTCCTCCTTGCTTGTCTAGATATCAATTATCATTCTCAAACCAGTTTGGAATAATCGACAACTATTGCCATTTATGCAACAAATAAATTTATCCAACTTTTTATATGTGTCAGTACAGTTGTTATTATCAACAATAAAATAGATCAATACCTCCTAGAGGCTAGAAGATTCCGACCATGCTCGGTTAACTGCAACAGTTGAGATGGCATTGCCGAAGGCGGATCCCGGCACGTTAGCAAAGATTAGCTGCCAAGTGAGAAGGGAAGACTCAGACATGTATTGACAAATTCACATCATAAGACAACATAAGAAGATTCTCCAGAAGCCATATCCTGTTGTGAATCATATAAAGCAGGACAAAGGGAAAAAAATACATTCTTACGATTTTCTTTCGTCGAGCTCTTACGATTCCGATTCAAATGCCGATAGTGTTAACCATCCTGCATCGACGGAAGACTCTGGCAAGAGTTCATAGTTCGATTTGTCTGAACATGAACATTTCGAAGCAGTGAATATGCCTTGTGATATTTCTTCCTACCTAATTCTCTACAATGACCATGCACATCTGTGAGATCAATTTAAGCAACATCAGCAAATAAAAACGTGTGATGGAGTATTTTGCATTACTGGGAAAATAAAGTTAGTTATAACTAACATATAAAGTATCATATGTAATATACCAAGAATTCTGCTAGAGGACGAACCGAGTGACCTATGTGGTAAAAGAATTATTGTTATTCCTTGAAGTCTCGGGTTCGAGCACTACGAATGTAAGAGGCGTAAGCGTTTCATGTCAAATTGTTGATCTTTTATCCTTAAAGAATTTGAAGAAATTAAAAAAATACTGGGCGATGGTATCAAGAGCTACATTATTTAATTTGAATCTATCAGTAATAAATGATCATTAATTGAAAAAGATTAAGTGGCGTAAAATAGTTATGAAAATTGTAGGTAGCTTATAAAATTATCAGTAAACAGAAAGAATCCCTGAGAATAAAGCCCTATAGATAATCCAAACCATAATTTAGCTCTTGGCGCTACATATTTAAATGGGTTTTTTTAATTCCAAATTCAAATTTTCATCCAACAAGTTTGTTTGTTTGTTCCTTCTAATTCCAAGGTTTTACCTTGTTAATCTGGACTGATTTGGGTCGTACACCTGATTTTGGTAGGTGAGTCTCCCAGCGAGAATTTTATACACACACAAGAACTCGATCTTCAGACTTTACTTAAACGATATCAATCCGTTTACCAACAGGGGCGTATCCAGACCTGCCTACCTAGGCCATGGCCCCCATGCCCAGAGGGTAAATTACTTGTTAAGTAACTCATTTGCTATTTATTTTATACTTTGGTCACTCGATTATTATTTATTTTAAATCACAGTTAATATTATATTTTGGTTATGTTTTGGTCTCTCATCTTTAAAAAATTATCGGTGATATTGATGTATCATCATAAGATAATGTCATGTCATGTCATGGCTAAAAAATAATAATAAAAATGCCATGTTAACATCATTGTTATTTTTTTTACCGTAAGTGATCAAAATATATATAGGAATTCTTTTAGATACAATATTTATTATGTTTATATTGTCCAACCCATAAAATTTTTCTGGATTCGTCACTACTTACCAGCCACGTTGGTTGTTCTATTATGACGTGTGACATTCGTTTTACATTTGATACTTATTGATAAATTTATATATGATTAGATTCAATGCTATTTTACCCATTTTTCTAATTTTATTCCATAACTCGGATGATATTGATTCCATGTATTAATGTTCATATCGTTAGAACTTTCCTATAAACTTGAATAATTTATTGGCTTTAAGAAAAATATATAATTATAATATGCTATTATCGTGATGATTAATGTGATTATTTCAAAGTCAACATCACACGGTTCTAATATCATAGTATGAACCGTCGTTTTTCATATATGCGCATGAATCTTGTTGTTCACATTGATGATGACAAAAAACATGTTCCTATGGTTTAATCAATACTGTCTAAAAATATGAGTACTGTCGTTTTTCATATATGGTTTAAGAAATGATCATCCGGCTCAGATGATAGAGTACAAGGTTCTTAACCTTGAGGTCGTGGGATCGAGTCTCATGGAGGGTATTTCATAATTTGGAGGTCTCCTACGGAAGTTGCTCATAACCTAGTGTTGGGGGCAACCTACTATCTTATCTCCCCCTTACCCTATTACATATGGGAACAAGGGACAACCATTTTTTTATAAGAAAATTTGGGTAAAAGTCTACGATAGTTCTCGTCTATTATATTGTCTAAAAATAAAAGATAAATATTTTTTTCTTGTTTCGTTTACTGTCTTCTCTATTATGATTGGATTCTATGCTGTTTTAATTAATACTGTTTGATAATTAATTACAATTTTATTCTACAACACAGATTATATCGATTTCTTGTGTTAGCGTTAATATCTATAAAGCTAAATAATTTCTTAGCTTCACAAAAAAATATATAATTATAATATGCTGTCATCGTAATTATAAATCTGATTATTTCAAAGTTAATACCGTACAAATTACAACCATGGGATGAACTGTCATTTTTTTTCCTAAGGTTTTGCCTTTACTAGTTTGGACCGACTCAGATCGTAAATCTAGTTTTGGTGGGTGACCAATGGGGAATTTTTGCATACACAAAGGATCGAACTTGAGAGTTACTTAAATGGTATCAAGCTGCTTACCACTTGAACCAATCCGTTGGTGAACTATCATTTTATCATACATGCATAAAACATGATTTTCGACATTTAACTTAATTAATATCATTTAAATAGTTAAATAGTTTAATTGATAAAATTAGAAATTCAATAATTGGATTAAAACTCCTCTAATTAATTATCATAGGTGTAGTTTACTCTATAATAAATCAAATGGTGTCAACTTATTAAAAACAAGGGTAAACCACCCAGATACCATTGAACCTTATGTCGTGCATCGTTTATATTACTGAAATTTTAATTTCTCCTATTATAACACTAACTTTGGTTTTAACTTTGATTATATCATTGGACTGTTAAATTTTAATGGCACGATGGCGTTGATAGATCTTTTTGTCACTGTGATGATGTAGACAAAACAAAGTCATTTTGGCGATGATTATTGATTCTTAAAATGATGTTGTTATAGGCACTAAACTTTAATGATGTATCATTTTGACACTAAACTTTTGAAAATTTCTATTTGTTTGCATTGTATTTTTGTCACACCCTAGATTGGGAGTTAAATGTTTATGTTATAAAAATGAGGAGTAGAAGTGCATCTTTTTTAAAAATTATGATCTAATCCGTCATTTTATCCAAGGACCTTAAGTCTTATTTCCCCTTATCTTGGCTGCAGAAATTAAAGCTGCTTTCGGTTTCCGCTTAGAAGCCCAGCTGGAACCAGACCAGTGCTCGCTTCTGCCAGACCTAGAACTAGGCCAGTTGTTGGGCCAGTTTTGCATGGCCCATAATGTTAAAGTCCAAAACCTAAAGAATGTAATTTAATGGACTCTCTGGTTTTCACTCAAGCATGATAAAATTACATTTTTATGATTTAGTCCTCAAATACCCTGTTTTGCAAAATTGAATTATGTTTTTACTTTAAATGAGCTAATATGTTAAAAATGATTAAAATAATATTTTTTTTATTTTGAAATGTTGTCGCTTTTAATATGGTTTCAAAACTACTTTGAGTGTGGAGTTATCTAAATGAGTTTAGATACATAAATCAAGTTATATCACCATCTCCGTTAAGTTTCAACGAAAACTAAACTCCTAACAATCGAAATAGGAAAAAAATAACGTTAGCGATGATTTTGCTAAGAAAAGTTTGGTGAGCAAAGTAGAAAAGTGATAATAGTTTAGTGACAATTAGGTAGTTTACCGACTTACTCTAATAAAAATTAGAGTAAACTACACATTTAGTACCTAAGGTATTAACTTTGTTCTTTTTTAGTATCCAAGCTTTTTTTTTTCTAAATCAAACTTAATGTTTAGTTTTAATACTTGCTGTGAAAAATTAACAGAACTTCTAACGTGATATTTTTTATTTTTTAATGATAACATAGCGTTACTTTATGGCAACACGTTAATATCACTGTTAATTTTTTAATAATGGGTATCAAAATGAAACATAAACTAAATATTATGTATAATTTAAAAAAAAATAAAGTGTCGGGACTATAACAGGACAAAAATAATAGTTTAGATACAGCTTACCCTAACATTAAATTCTAGTAATAAAACCAATTTAAAATAAAAACTAAAAAAACCCTAAGTGTCTCGCATTCCCCCTCTCGACAGACGACAGTCGACTCTCCCTCCTCATCCAGCCACCGTGCATTCATCTAAGCTCTCAACTGAGTCGACGCCGTCCAGGAAGAACCCGCACTCTCAAACCTGTTCTCAGCCGGCAACCGCTACAACCCAGCACTCACGGTTCTCTCAGCAGCAAGCATCAATGTCCTGCAAGAGGGTTTCGGTTCTGACTTCCAACTATCTCACCGCTTTATCTAAGGTATGTTCTTCACGACGTTTCCCTCGGTCACATTTCAGTAAATTTCTAAGCACTGCGGCTGAAAGGTGGGATTACGTTAGCCCTTATAGCACCTCTCAGTTTGAGAATCCTCCGTATGGTACTCCAAGTTCACTAGGTTATGAGCAGAAACAAAATGGGTATGCCTTAAACACTAACCAGGGTTTTGAGGTATGCCCTACGGGTGATTATGGGGGGACTCAGTACCGGCAAAATCCACAAGATATTTATAATTTTACTTCTTATGGTCAAGTGAAACGTAATACTATTTCTCATGGCCAAGTAACAAGCAACGTTAATTTTTATGGTCAAGTATCTGCTATTTCTGAATCTAAGGAAGGTTTAACTGAGGTTTCTGAAACTAGCTCAAATAATGCTACGATTGAGATGCTGGAGGAATTTTGCAATAAAGTGAATGTTAAAGAAGCATTAGAAGTTTTGGGATCGATGAGACAGCAAGGTGTTCTTGTGGATTTGACCCAAATTTTACGCATAACAAAGGCATGTGGAGAAGTGGAAGCTTTACAAGAAGCGAAAACTGTTCACGAATACCTCTTAGTATCATTTTCACCTCTCAAGATAAGCATCTATAATAGGATTTTAGAGATGTACATGAAATGTGGTTCGGCTGTTGATGCATTTGATGTGTTTGACAAGATGCCGAAGCGCAATCTGACATCTTGGGATATTATGATAACATGGCTTGCTAGGAATGGGCTAGGCGAGGATGCCCTTGATCTGTTTTCTCAGTTTAAGCAGGCAGGCTTGAAGCCAGACGCCAAAATGTTCGTTGCTGTGTTTTACGCTTGTGGTGTTGTGGGTGATACTAATGAGGGAATGCTCCACTTTTCATCAATGAGCAGTGATTATGGCATCGTCCCATCCATGGAGCATTATGTAAGTGTTGTTGACATGCTGGGGAGTACAGGGCATCTGGATGAAGCATTGGAATTCATTGAGAAGATCCCATTTGAGCCCAGTGTTGATGTTTGGGAAACTTTAATGAATCTCTGCAGAGTTCATGGGCACTTGGAACTTGGGGATCGTTGTGCTGAGCTTGTGGAGGAACTAGATCCCTCCCGCTTGAATGAGCAATCAAAGGCAGGCCTTGTACCTTTGAAAGATTCGGACCTTAAACAAAATGAGAAGAAGAAGCTGGCAAGTCAAAGTCCTCTTGAAGTCAGAAGCAGGGTCAATGAGTATCGTGCAGGAGATACATCACATCCTGAGAATGATAGAATCTATGCACTTCTAAGAAGCTTGAAAGAACACATGAAAGAAGCTGGTTATGTTCCTGAAACAAAATTTGTCTTGCATGATATAGATCAGGAAAGCAAGGAAGAAGCTCTTCTTGCTCATAGTGAGAGACTTGCTCTTGCTAATGGTCTCCTCACTACTCCGGCCCGTGGACAGATTCGTATAATCAAGAATCTCCGTGTTTGTGGTGATTGCCATGTTGCATTTAAGATCATGTCGAAGATTGTTGGCAGAATGATCATAATGCGAGATGCTAAGAGGTTTCATCATTTCAGTGAAGGGATATGTTCTTGTCGAGATTATTGGTGATTAAAATAGAACTTGAGGTATCATTTATCTCAACAATCTGTTTTACTTTTTGATTGAAAAAGAATTTAGTAGCATCTGAAGTGAGTAATCTATAAGATAGTAATTTATTAGAGAAGATATAAATCAAAATAGAACTTGAGGTATCATTTATCTCAACAATCTGTTTTACTTTTTGAATGAAAAAAAAAATTAGTAGCATCTGAAGCGAGTAGTTTATAAGATATAGTAATTATTAGAGAAGATATAAATAACCTATATAGATATAAGTTTTTCTTCTACTTGTTTATGACTTAGACCTGCAACTAGTTGTACTTAATTTGAGACATAAACAAGCCTTTTTAATGCAGAACATCCAAATACTTTGGATTCAATATGCTACCAGACAAATTCCCTTTTTATTGCCTGTGACTACTCTCCACGCAGGGGAAGCTGGTGCCAATTTGGTACCTTCACTTCTGTAATCACAGTAATTGCTCTTTCAATATCTTTTCCTTCTGAAGTAGTGAATTTAGATTTGCATATGTTCCTTCTAATGTGTCTCTCTTTATCTATCAAACATTGACACATTTATTTTCAATGAATTACTATTCATATTGCCCTGTCTGTGCTCTGTCTTGACTGCATTTTTCATATACAAGTACTTGAAAGAAGGATTTCATCAATATTTGTCATGTTCTGGTGTTAGCATATGTTATATTTTGTAGTCGTTGATTCAGACGACCCTGTTGTGTATAAACATAACTGATAGTAGAAATAGTGTTGCAACATAAGCCAGGTAAAGAGTAATTTGACTTTGATGGGTGTTGTAGTCCCATGAGATATTTATAACTCAAAATGCTTTATCATATTTCTTTTTGGGCAGAAAAATGTTTAGTTTTGTGAGTAAATATTGTTGGTGTATGCGAAAATAAAATGAGGAAATGTTTTGCAGGGAATGGGTGTTGTTCGGATAGTTTCTAAAACTGAGGCAGTTTATAGGTTCCTGCACCATCGGTTGGCTGGGATAAAGCGCTTGGTTTATCGAACAAGCATTGTCGTTAGTTTGAATGCAATCATAGTTAGTTCTTTCATTAACATGTTTCATCTTTCAAAGTCGACATTGTCAGCAAAAGCCGGCAGCCTGTTATTTTGCCATTTATATTCAATTTGGGTGCAAAATGCAACGTGCGAAATCAGGAAATAACTCATTCGAGCAGCAGCATAGACGCAGGTAATGTAATATTCTAACTAACTCATAAGAGCGTAAATGAACATTATGGGTATAGAGATGGTTGTGGATTTTGTTTTCTTTAATAATATTACTATGCCAACATCACAAGCTTGAAAAATATTGCAAAATTCTTCGATTGCTTGCATTTTTCGCCTGCTTCCAATCCACTTCATGTCGATGCATTAGATGATAAGATGTCAAAGCTTGTCCTACACTGACTCAAAACAATGAAGGAAATGAACGCTAATACTGAGAATATGCAATATCGACCATGAAAATTACCAGCTGCATATAACGGCACGAGCAACTACTACCTAACGTGTGTACCTGTAGAACTAGCGCCTTGTTCTGCCTCGATCTTCATGGTTAGACCTAGCAAACTTGCATTGTACTCTGAATAAATTTATCTGCATCGAGATCCGATATAGACATGGACTTGATATGGTCTTGACCTGAAACAAATTGAATTCAACTAAAATCGATTTGGATTTAGCTGGATCAATATAAGCTCAAATTGAAATCAACCCGAATTGAAAACAATCAAAATTGAAATTAACTTAAATTGAAAACAGCTCGAATTAAATTTACCAGCATCTTATATGAATTGAGCATTGATTGGGTTGCAACTTGATAATTGTGTTTAAGTGAATGAATAATTTATTTTTTATAATAATTTGATAAATAGTAAAATGATTAATATTTTATTCTTTTTTTTGTATTATTATTGGATAACCTTCACTTTTGATAATAGTTTAACTGTTCAATATCATTTTTCTTATTTAATCTCTATATTTGATTGGATAATTTTTAAATTTTATTGTCTCCGAGATCTAAAGCTACATCGTTTTGGTGTTGGTTTCCATGTTGTAACATTAATAATTATTCAACGACGGAGTTATCAAAACATGATTCAAACGTTGAGTGATTAAACTAAAATTGTTTAAACTTCAATGACCAAAATGATAGGAATAGAGAAGATAGGTTACCTTCCGATATTTCTCAGCTCATCTATTTGACGTCAATTTTGTTCATTAATGCTAAAATCGCAAGAGGCTGAGATTATGACATTTTTGGACAGACTAAATAATAATAATAATAATGTACTCCAAAAAAATAATTAGTAATTAATTTTTCTGTCCCTCTTCACCGCCTTCTTCCAAGTAAGCCTTCTTCCTCCTATCAGCTCTAGCAAACAGACAAATGACAAGGAAACAGGTGGCGTACATCCCGTGGACCTTCCACTTCGTCCTGGGCGGTTGATGCAACATCACCCTATGAAACACCGCCACGTAGTAGTGCAGCCCGACGGCAAACCGGACGAAAATTTGACCCAAACCCAACATCTTGGATCCGAGACCCGAATCGGTCGAGAAAACGAGGATGAGATACATCAAAAGCAACAGCAAGTAGAGCACGTATCCGAGTGTTTGAAGGACCTGTAAACACAAGTAGGTCGAGGGCGAAGTAGCGTAGAAAAACTTCAGTGGCTCGAGCCCAGTGATCAGGGAAGTGAGGCAGAGGATTGAGAAGTAAATGGAGAGGTAAATTTGGATGAAAATGAGGATTTTCTGGAGTGAAAAGTAAGCTTTGATGCGGTTAAAAATGAGGGAAACTAACAGTAAAGGGATTAAGAGGAAAGCACAAGAGATTACAGTGGCGATGGTGGGGGCATGCTTGTTGCCGACATATGGTTTGAACTGTTTCGTGAACTAGTTGTTGTATTTGGTGATGTAAACTCTCGAGGTTTCCGAGATTCTCTCTAGGTGTGGGATAAGGTTTTCCTGGAACTTGGTCGGGAGATCTCGAAACTCGGCCACTAAATCGGCTTCATCTTCCTCGTCCATCCAACTGGCTTGTTGTTTCTGAATCTGGGTTGTTGGTTTTCTCCCTTGGAGTGACTTCTTTTCAGTTTTTGAAGATTGAGCAGCACTGTCGGTCAGTGTTTTCGTGGTGGTTTTGTTATTGGAAGTGCTTAATTTGAGTAGATCCGAGGTTTTTGTGAACTTGGACGAATTGGTGGCTTTTGATGTCGTGGAGTTGAGTTTTTTGATTTTGGGAATCAAAATCAAATCGATTTTGTCGATTTGGTTGTTTTTGAAATCTTGGTCTGGTTCTTGGCCGACAAATTTAACGATGATTTCACGAGTTTGGTTTGGTTTTTGATTGATAAGTTGGATGGTTTGACGAGGTTGGTTTGGTTCTTCTTGGGGAACAAACCGGAGCTTTTCTTCTTTAACAACAGCTGCTTGTCTTCTTCCTCTAGCTCTAACAACCCTCTTCCAACACCAGACCAAGACCGACTGCTCTGAAGCTCGTGGCCATGAATGGAGGCACAACAAAAGAGCAGAGAAATGATCAACATGAAGAAAGCAAGATGAAGCAAGAATACCATACGGAAACTCAGGTACACTGGTGGAGCCATTGCTGAAATTCTCTGCCTTGAAAGATGAAAAAAATCCAATGATTTTTAAGGTCGGGATTGGATCTAAAGTGTTCAACTAAAAAAGAAAGAGATAAAAGAGAAAACAGTGTGTTTATATAGTTGTAGATTCACTTGCATGAAACGGCATTAAATGAAAAGTGAGGGAAAGTATTTGTAGGGGTGAAGTATACACATGGTCCTAATTATATGGAGTTCTTTTTGTTAAGTTCTTCGACTATTAAAAATTACAAAATGATCATTTGATTATTTATTATGTTTTGACCTCATTCTTTTCAATTAAAAAAATTAAGATTGTATAAGCTAAATGTTAATATGTTAACTGAAATATGATACTCATTTGAAATTATGATATCAGATTTTATTATATCTCAATGATCATGTTAATGTACAGATCAGACTACTGTCGAAATTTTAATGAAAAGAAACGACTTTAGAATATAATGAATAGTCGAGTGATCATTTTATAACTTTTAATAATTAAGAGATTTAACATAACAATTTTTATAATTAAAAGATTATTTTATAATTTTTAATAATAAAGAGATTCAATAGAATAATATCCTATAATTAAAATTATTTATATTCTTACCCTATAATTTAATGACTCCATTATTATTAACCAGTTTTCACACTGACCCTCGGTGCCTACGGCTTCATTACCTCACCTTTACTCTCTAGGAAAAAGGATGTGTTAAAATACTTGAAACACGCCATTTTAGACCTTAGGACATAACTTTTAATTTTTTTATGGGAACAATATGTCCTTAAAATTAATTATAAAAATAGTATTTAAAAATTATTTCAATAAATTATACTTATTTTAGTAATAATGGATAAAGGTCCATTTAATTGAAAGTACCTTATCAAATACGTTCTTAATTAAAAGAACTTTTTACATACTAGATATATTAGATCAGTGGCGGAGCCACGAATTAATCAGGGTAAGTATGTGTCCACCATGAAATTCAAATTATATTCCATTAGTTACTTGTTTTTATTGATGATGTTCATTCTGAAATCTGAGTTTTCTTCAATTAGTTACTTATTTTACGGACGGTGTCCACCTTAAAATTTTATTTGTACTCATTCCATTTAAAAAATTTATATTGTTAACATATGTGTGCCTCTGAAAATATTTCTGGATCCGCCACTAGATTAGATGGAATTTATGAGAATGCACCTTATTTGATAAATATCATGTTCCCGAGAATTGTTCGTACGAAGTAACATTTTTATTCAAGTGAGTTTTTAAATACATTAAATATACACATTTTATTACTAAAAATCAAGTATGATGTTTTGTTGGGAATATATGAAAACGTCTTGATTGATAATGAATGTGTATCGATGATTGTGTAAAATTATACCTCTTTAATTTTCTCTCCTCGTAACAACATTTATAAAAAATATTAATTAAAATGTTATACAAAATTATAAATCGTAGTTGTGATAGGCTGACTCTCCTCGTTAGAAGCATTTATAAAAAAATATTAATTAAAATGTTAAGTAAAAGGAAGTAAAAGTGTGCTTAATGAATGAATAAATGTCGCGACAAAGCTAGGGAACTTAATTAGAAATTGTCTAGATTCGTTAAGCATAGATTAGATACAATCACACACACGCACCCACAAAGAATCTTGTCATAGGGAAAAATACTTGATTTCTTGATATGTCTAGCATGTTGAAGCCATTTTTCTGAGGGCTGTGTAGATGCTCGGTTTCGTCCGGGAACTCCGTTCGAGTTCTAGATCCAATACGAGTTACAGTGTAGATTAAGTTGGAGCCCTGAAGAGAGGTCAGTTTTTTTTTAACTACTAGAAACCATCAGAAACTATATACATCACGGGCAGACACGATCACAAATTACAGAAAAAAAGAGACAAAGAAGGAGCAGAGAAGAATTAACCGAGAGGACAGGGAGAGAAAGCAGATACCATTAAAAAACCAACAGAAAAAACGAGGAGGGGATTATTAAAAAAAACAGAGATCACAGAGCGAGAGGAGAGATTACAGAGACTAGATTTTTTTTCACACCAGGACAAATAGAAAAAACAAAAAAAAAACTGTGAAAACAACGTTCAAGGATTCATAGATTAAACAGTGTAATCAGGTTCTTCCCTATCTTTTTCGAAAGCAATACAAGCAATTTGTAAGTAGTTATTTTTCTTTTTTCTTTTTCGAAATATCTAGTACGGCTATGTGTAGTTCTTTATTTTTCTTTCAAAAATTAGAAAATAGGGAGAGATTAGAGATTTACCCGGGTTGAGTTTAGCGTTGAATAGGAGGCTCAATTTTGGATTCGATTGAAGCAGTGAAAAGCTGAGGAGAAGCCATGGGTTCTGTGAGAGGGAATTTGCGTGAGTGGAGAGAATGTAAAGGTTAGATTATTTTAAAATTTCTTCAAATATTATATATATGTGCGTGAGTAGAGAGATTGGAAAGGTGAGGAGTGGTTGAGTGTTCCTGTGAGGTTAGTCTAGGTTTCGGGTATTTAGGTTTTATATTAATTGTTTAGGGAAAATTAGTTCCTAGTCCTCAAATCTTAAGCATCCTTTGTAAATTTGCCACCCGAGAGATTAATTTCTGAATTTGACTCTTTTTTTGTCCCGATTTCATCATTTTCCAATTTTAGTATTAGTTATA